AACAGCTGCATCCCGAGCAGCGAGAAGATGATGATGAAGAGGAAGAGCAGCAGCAGCAGCGACGCTATCGACTTCATTGAGTTCAGGAGAGAGGCCACCAGGTTACTGAGGGACGCCCAGTGACCAAGACTGAGGAGAGAGACCAAGACTGAGGAGAGAGACCACCAGGTTACTGAGGGACGCCCAGTGTCTGAGGAGAGAGACCAAGACTGAGGAGAGAGACCAAGACTGAGGAGAGAGACCACCAGGTTACTGAGGGACGCCCAGTGTCTGAGGAGAGAGACCAAGACTGAGGAGAGAGACCACCAGGTTACTGAGGGACGCCCAGTGCCTGAGGAGAGAGACCAAGACTGAGGAGAGAGACCAAGACTGAGGAGAGAGACCAAGACTGAGGAGAGAGACCAAGACTGAGGAGAGAGACCACCAGGTTACTGAGGGACGCCCAGTGCCTGAGGAGAGAGACCAAGACTGAGGAGAGAGACCACCAGGTTACTGAGGGACGCCCAGTGCCTGAGGAGAGAGACCAAGACTGAGGAGAGAGACCACCAGGTTACTGAGGGACGCCCAGTGCCTGAGGAGAGAGACCAAGACTGAGGAGAGAGACCACCAGGTTACTGAGGGACGCCCAGTGTCTGAGGAGAGAGACCAAGACTGAGGAGAGAGACCACCAGGTTACTGAGGGACGCCCAGTGTCTGAGGAGAGAGACCAAGACTGAGGAGAGAGACCAAGACTGAGGAGAGAAACCAAGACTGAGGAGAGAGGCCACCAGGTTACTGAGGGACGCCCAGTGTCTGAGGAGAGAGACCAAGACTGAGGAGAGAGACCACCAGGTTACTGAGGGACGCCCAGTGTCTGAGGAGAGAGACCAAGACTGAGGAGAGAGACCACCAGGTTACTGAGGGACGCCCAGTGTCTGAGGAGAGAGACCAAGACTGAGGAGAGAGACCACCAGGTTACTGAGGGACGCCCAGTGCCTGAGGAGAGAGACCAAGACTGAGGAGAGAGACCAAGACTGAGGAGAGAGACCAAGACTGAGGAGAGAGACCAAGACTGAGGAGAGAGACCACCAGGTTACTGAGGGACGCCCAGTGCCTGAGGAGAGAGACCAAGACTGAGGAGAGAGACCAAGACTGAGGAGAGAGACCACCAGGTTACTGAGGGACGCCCAGTGTCTGAGGAGAGAGACCAAGACTGAGGAGAGAGACCAAGACTGAGGAGAGAGACCACCAGGTTACTGAGGGACGCCCAGTGTCTGAGGAGAGAGACCAAGACTGAGGAGAGAGACCCGGGTTACACCAGAGACCAAGACTGAGGAGAGAGACCAAGACTGAGGAGAGACCAGAAGATCTATGAGGGTCAAGACCAGAGACCAAGACCAAGACCTAGACCTGAGACCAAGAGACCAGGAACTAGAGACCACATACCAGAGACCTAGACCTGAGACCAAGACCAGAGACCATCGACCTCGACCAGATACCAAGACCCAGACCTAAGACCAAGACCAGAGACCTGCAGTGACTTCAGAGAGACCAGAACATCAGAGACATTTGTTTCCAAAGAAATATCGCTCTCCCTGTTTTCTTCTAGAAGTATCTAGAACACGTGTGGGCTAAGGAGATGGCTAATGCTAACAAGCTAACATGCTAAGCTAACACTGTGGTGATGTCACACTCCTAACGTACCGCGTGACTTTGAAGATGCGCAGGAGGCGGACGCAGCGGAAGACGGAGATGCCGAGCGGACTCATGACGGCGAGCTCCACCAGGATGGTCTCCACGATGCCGCCGCAAACCACGAAGCAGTCGAAGCGGTTAAAGAGAGACACCAGGTACGACTGCAGACCCAGGCTGTAGACCTTCACCAGCATCTCACACGTGAACATGGACAGGAGCAGCTTGTTAGCTACGTCTGCAGAGGGGGAGAGAAAGAGAGAGGGGGGAGTCAGAGAGAGAGGAGAGGGGGAGAGGGGGGAGAGTCAGAGAGAGAGAGGCTGTAGACCTTCACCAGCATCTCACACGTGAACATGGACAGGAGCAGCTTGTTGGCCACGTCTGCAGAGGGGGGAGAGAGAGAGAGAGAGGGGGGAGTCAGAGAGGGAGGAGAGGGGGGAGAGGGGGGAGAGTCAGAGAGAGAGAGGGAGAGTCAGAGAGAGAGAGGCTGTAGACCTTCACCAGCATCTCACACGTGAACATGGACAGGAGCAGCTTGTTGGCCACGTCTGCAGAGGGGGGAGAGAGGGGAGGGGGAGTCAGAGAGAGAGGAGAGGGGGAGAGGGGGGAGAGTCAGAGAGAGAGGGGGGAGTCAGAGAGAGAGAGGCTGTAGACCTTCACCAGCATCTCACACGTGAACATGGACAGGAGTAGCTTGTTGGCCACGTCTGCAGAGGGGGGAGAGAGAGAGAGAGGGGGGAGTCAGAGAGAGCAGAGAGGGGGAGAGAGAGAGAGAGAGAGAGAGAGAGAGAGAGCAGAGAGGGGGAGAGAGAGAGAGAGAGAGAGAGAGAGAGAGAGAGCAGAGAGGGGGAGAGAGAGAGAGGGGTAAGTCAGAGAGGGGGAGGAATCAGAGAGGGGGGAGTCAGAGAGAGGGGAGAGGGGGGAGTCCTTGCAGTTGTGTGAGCCACTCAGGCTGGTTGTGTGTACCTTGCAGTTGACCTCAAGAAAATGGACATAACAATTTTTCTTAGTGGACCACTGCCAAATATAGATGGAAAAATGGAGAAGTTTAGCCGTCTGTATCAGCTAAACACATTCCTACTCAATGAGTGTTCACGCAGAGGACTTGGCTTCATTGAAAACTTTAATCTGTTCTGGAATAGGCACGAGCTTTTTGAAGAAAAAGGTCCACATCTGAACAACTACGGAGTAAAAGTGCTGATGGATAACTTTGCATCTGCCCTAAGACCTCAGCCTGCGCAGCGCGTGCAGCCGTCGAAAGGGAGAAAGAAGAAGCAAAGGGCACAGACATCACGACCATCTCCACCGACTCCCGAGGTCTCTGCACCCCCACCGCCTCAAAAGAACTCCACACCTCCACGATTCAAGAAGAACTCAACACCTCCAATGTTCCAAAAGAACTCAACACCTCCACGGCTCCGAAAGAGCTCAACGCCTCCACCACCAGCATCATCAGCAGCTGCCACATCTTCATCAGCGCCATCAGCATATACAGCACCACCAGCAGCAGTGGATACAGCCGCAGCAGTGGCTGCTCCATCATCTTCAGCAGCAGCAGTGGCTGCTCCATCATCTTCAGCAGCAGCAGTGGCTGCTCCATCATCTTCAGCAGCAGCAGTGGCTGCTCCGTCATCTTCAGCAGCAGCAGTGGCTGCTCCATCATCTTCAGCAGCACCTTCCCCACCTACAGCTCCCGTGAAGCTTCCCCCATTACTCCAGGCTACAGTCAGGCCTGTAATGGGGGTTCCTCAACCACCTCTGTCTCCACCAAAGACTCCCTCATCACCTTCCATGGACCCGGCTTGGGTCCCCCCCGCTACATCCACTCCATCTAGGGAAAATGAGGACGACCTTTCCCTTTGTTTTCTATCCCCGCCTTCACTACTGGAATTACCGGAACACTCGGCAGGCATGATAAGATCGGCGATGAAGACTATTCCTCTCACACCCACTGTAGCCAGATCAAGAGTCCTATCTAACATTCAAAACTACTCCCCATACGTACCTCCAAAGCCACCTAGGGCGTCCAACTCAAATTCTCCCACAAAATCCACCCGTCCCTCCTCTAACCCCATAAGTATTCCACCCCCCCCTCCTGCTCATTTAGCCCACCTCCCCCCTAACCCAGCACCAAGAAACCCTCCACCTCCACTCCCCCCTCGTCCACCACCCAACTCAGCCTGCCCCTCCCCGAACCCATCACCAAAAACCCATCCACCTTCAACCCCTCCCCGTCCAACTCCCAAGAACCACCCACCTCTCCATCCTCCTCCCCCGCCTTCCCCTACCCCTCTTTTCTCTAAACACTAGGATGCACAGGGTCTCTGCTTCGCAGCCACAGGCAGTCTAGTTAGAGGAGAAACCCGGCTGGGGCCCTGTCATGAAGCCACCTGTGCCATTCCCTTAGTGATAACACAAAGAATACATAACAGAAAAACATCTGGAGTTAATCAGTCTAATCTGGAAAATCTAATTCTTGTTCCGTGTAAGAATCAGCCGACCACAACCGCTGATACTGAAACTTTGAAACTTGCTACGCTTAATGTCAGATCTCTTTGTAACAAGTCTTTTTTAATCAATAATTTTATTTGTTCTTATAATCTAGATCTTATGTTCATGGCTGAAACACGGCTTGACCAAAATACAGAAAATGCAGTGTTAATAGAAGCATCACCACCAAATTTCACATTTGAATCTGAAATACGGGAAAACAAAAAAGGAGGAGGCTTAGCTGCCATTTTCAGAGACCACTTTGTCTCCCATAGAATGTCTCTTGAGAAGTTTCCGTCTTTTGAATATGTGTCTTTTAAAATACAACAAAAACAATCTCCAATACTTTTCGTTGTCCTATACAAGCCACCGCAGTCATGTCACAGATTTATTGATAATTTTACAGAGTTGCGTTCAGTTGTATTCACAGATTTTGATAGTTTAGTTATTACAGGTGATTTTAATATTCATGTGGATAATGTTGATGACAGAAATGCAAATGAGCTGAGTTCTTTACTTGATACCTTTGGTCTCACTCAGCACGTGAGTGGCCCCACCCACAGCAGAGGGCACACTCTAGACCTGTTAGTTACAAAGGGGGCGAACATTTATAATGTAAACGTGGTCGATGTTGCGCTTTCGGATCATTTTTGTATATTTTTTGACATGTGTTTCACTAACAAACCACCAGTGGACTCTGCAACTGTTCGAAGAAGACACATAAATGAAAATACGGGTGAACTATTTATGGGAATGATAAACTTTGAGAATGCATCGTGTTCTACTGTAGATGAACTGTTTAACTCTGTCACCTCTAGTGTTTTGAATGTTCTGGATACCGTTGCCCCTGTGAAGGTTAAAATAGTGAAAAATAAGCAGAAGGCGCCGTGGGCTAAAGCAGACTCGGTCAGGGCACAAAAGAGAAAGTGCCGGAGGGCCGAGCGGAAGTGGCGCAAGTCCAACCTCCAGGTTGATTACGAGATCTTCAAAGATAAGTTGTGCGAGTTTAACCAGGTGCTACGTAGTACGAGAGAAAGGTATTTTTCTGAAATGATTGAAGGCTGCAGTAACAATCTGCGTGTTCTGTTTTCAACAATTAATAGATTAACAAACCCCCCTGTTCAGATGCCATTAGAGCTAACTTCCAAACGTAAATGCAATGAGTTTGCTAATTTTTTCAATGACAAGGTTCAAGGCATCAAAAACGCCATTGTCTCCAATCCACAGATAACCATCCAACAGCCAGAAAGGCTCTTTGAGCTAACTCACTTTGCACCTGTAAATGATAAAACTGTCCAAGAGATAATCTCCAGTTTGAGCTCCTCCACATGCAGCCTGGATGTACTACCCACTATATTTCTAAAGTCTGTTCTGAGCAGTCTGTTACCTTCACTCACACAGATAGTAAACATGTCCCTTCATTCTGGAATATTCCCAAAGGCCCTGAAAACTGCAGTCATCAGGCCCCTGCTAAAAAAGAGCAGTCTGGATGCTACGGTACTTAACAACTACCGTCCCATCTCAAATCTGCCATTTATGGGGAAAGTCCTTGAGAAAGTTGTCTACCTACAGCTTACTAGATTTCTTATAATCAACAACTCATTTGATATGTTTCAGTCCGGCTTTAGACCCCACCACAGCACTGAGACTGCTCTCGTTAAGGTTACAAACGATATCCGGCTGAACACTGACGCAGGCAAAGTCTCAATCTTAATCCTGTTAGATCTGCCTTTGACACTGTCGACCATGAGATCCTCTTACAGAGACTAGAGGACTGGGTTGGCGTCGCTGGCACCGCCCTAAGTTGGTTTAGGTCTTACCTTGAAGACAGGAAGTACTTTGTGGAGATTGGAAACTGTGTCTCAGATCATATGGCCCTGACCTGTGGAGTCCCACAGGGGTCGATCCTGGGACCTCTTCTGTTCAATCTCTACATGCTGCTGTTAGGTCAGTTAATACGCAGAAACAAAGTGTCCTATCATAACTATGCAGACGACACTCAGATCTATGTCTCACTGACTGCAGGAGAACATGGACCAGTGGACTCACTCCTTCACTGTATCCAACAGATCAGTGAGTGGATGCAAAACAACTTCCTTCAGCTAAACGCAGACAAAACTGAAATGATTGTCTTTGGTCCCCAGAAACAAAGAGAGAGCGTCATCTGTCACCTACAGTCTCTCTCCCTAAAACCTTCAAACAAGGTCAGAAATCTAGGGGTAATACTGGACTCAGACTTAAATTTTAATAGCCACATCAAATCAGTAACATCAGCAGCTTTTTACCATCTAAAAAACATTGCCAGGATCAAAAACATAGTGTCTAAAGCAGACTTGGAGATTCTTATCCATGCTTTTGTCTCCAGTAGGTTAGACTACTGCAATGGCCTGCTCACAGGTCTGTCCAAACAGGCTGTAAAACAGCTGCAGTACATTCAAAATGCAGCAGCTCCAGTCCTGACTAGAACCAGGAAGTACGACCACATTAGTCCTGACTAGAACCAGGAAGTACGACCACATTAGTCCTGACTAGAACCAGGAAGTACGACCACATTAGTCCTGACTAGAACCAGGAAGTACGACCACATTAGTCCTGACTAGAACCAGGAAGTACGACCACATTAGTCCTGACTAGAACCAGGAAGTACGATCACATTAGTCCTGACTAGAACCAGGAAGTACGACCACATTAGTCCTGACTAGAACCAGGAAGTACGATCACATTAGTCCTGACTAGAACCAGGAAGTACGACCACATTAGTCCTGACTAGAACCAGGAAGTACGACCACATTAGTCCTGACTAGAACCAGGAAGTACGACCACATTAGTCCTGACTAGAACCAGGAAGTACGACCACATTAGTCCTGACTAGAACCAGGAAGTACGACCACATTAGTCCTGACTAGAACCAGGAAGTACGACCACATTAGTCCAGTCCTCAGGTCTCTGCACTGGCTTCCTGTGGCTCAGAGAATAGACTTTAAAATAGCTCTGCTTGTTACAAGTCTCTCCATGGCCTCGCACCAAAATATATTAGTGACATGTTAGTCCCATATGAACCAGCCCGGACTCTGAGGAGCACAGGGACTGGACTCCTGCTGGGACTCTGAGGAGCACAGGGACTGGACTCCTGCTGGGACTCTGAGGAGCACAGGGACTGGACTCCTGCTGGGACTCTGAGGAGCACAGGGACTGGACTCCTGCTGGGACTCTGAGGAGCACAGGGACTGGACTCCTGCTGGGACTCTGAGGAGCACAGGGACTGGCCTCCTGCTGGGACTCTGAGGAGCACAGGGACTGGACTCCTGCTGGGACTCTGAGGAGCACAGGGACTGGACTCCTGTTAGTGCCCAGAGTCAGAACTAAACATGGGGAGGCTGCTTTTCAGATTCATGCTGCTAAAATCTGGAACAGTCTTCCTGAAGATGTGAGACAGGCCTCCTCTCTGACAATGTTTAAAACCAGGTTAAAGACAGTTCTGTTCAGCTGTGCTACAACTGAGGGATTTTATATTTTTATCTTTCGTTTTAATGTTCTGTGATTATTCATGCTTTCTTGTTTTGTTCAGCACTTTGAATTGCCTTGTGTATGAATTGTGCTATATAAATAAACTTGCCTTGCCTTACAAACCGTTTGAGCCACTCAGGCTGGTTGTGTGTACCTTGCAGTTGTGTGAGCCACTCAGGCTGGTTGTGTGTACCTTGCAGTTGTGTGAGCCACTCAGGCTGGTTGTGTGTACCTTGCAGTTGTGTGAGCCACTCAGGCTGGTTGTGTGTACCTTGCAGTTCTGTGAGCCACTCAGGCTGGTTGTGTGTACCTTGCAGTTGTGTGAGCCACTCAGGCTGGTTGTGTGTACCTTGCAGTTGTGTGAGCCACTCAGGCTGGTTGTGTGTACCTTGCAGTTGTGTGAGCCACTCAGGCTGGTTGTAGTGCTCTGAGGCGATGGTGAGTGTGTTGAGAAACACCAGGATGATGACGAGCCAATAGAACACCACAGACTTCACCGCGGCTCGGCACTTCCTGCGACAGAACCGGTTCCAGCGCCGCCACTGACGACTGCGGGAGACATCACACACGTCACACACATGACACACACACACAAACACACGTATGACACACACAAACACACGTATGGCACACACAAACACACGTATGACACACACAAAGACCTCACACCGATAAACTTTGGTCATTCAGGCCTTAAACATGTTACTGTATATAGATGGACCAGAGAGAGACCAAAGAGAGAGACCAGAGAGAGACCAGAGAGAGAGACCAGAGAGAGACCAGAGAGAGAGACCAGAGAGAGACCAGAGAGAGACCAGAGAGAGACCAGAGAGAGAGACCAGAGAGAGACCAGAGAGAGACCAGAGAGAGACCAGAGAGAGAGACCAGAGAGAGAGACCAGAGAGAGACCAGAGAGAGACCAGAGAGAGACCAAAGAGAGAGACCAGAGAGAGACCAGAGAGAGACCAGAGAGAGACCAGAGAGAGAGACCAGAGAGAGACCAGAGAGAGAGACCAGAGAGAGACCAGAGAGGGACCAGAGAGAGACCAGAGAGAGAGACCAGAGAGACCAGAGAGAGACCAGAGAGAGAGACCAGAGAGAGACCAGAGAGAGAACCGAGAGAGACCAGAGAGAGAGACCAGAGAGAGACCAGAGAGAGAGACCAGAGAGAGACCAGAGAGAGAGACCAGAGAGAGACCAGAGAGAGACCAGAGAGAGACCAGAGAGAGACCAGAGAGAGACCAGAGAGAGACCAGAGAGAGACCAGAGAGAGACCAGAGAGAGACCAGAGAGAGACCAGAGAGAGACCAGAGAGAGAGACCAGAGAGAGACCAGAGAGAGACCAGAGAGAGACCAGAGAGAGAGACCAGAGAGAGAGACCAGCGAGAGAGACCAGAGAGAGACCAGAGAGGGACCAGAGAGAGACCAGAGAGAGACCAGAGAGAGACCAGAGAGAGACCAGAGAGAGACCAGAGAGAGACCAGAGAGAGACCAGAGAGAGAGAGACCAGAGAGAGACCAGAGAGGGACCAGAGAGAGACCAGAGAGAGACCAGAGAGAGACCAGAGAGAGACCAGAGAGAGAGACCAGAGAGAGAGACCAGAGAGAGACCAGAGAGAGACCAGAGAGAGACCAGAGAGAGACCAGAGAGAGAGACCAGAGAGAGACCAGAGAGAGACCAGAGAGAGAGACCAGAGAGAGAGACCAGCGAGAGAGACCAGAGAGAGACCAGAGAGGGACCAGAGAGAGACCAGAGAGAGACCAGAGAGAGACCAGAGAGAGACCAGAGAGAGACCAGAGAGAGACCAGAGAAAGACCAGAGAGAGAGACCAGAGAGGGACCAGAGAGAGACCAGAGAGAGAGACCAGAGAGAGACCAGAGAAAGACCAGAGAGAGAGACCAGAGAGGGACCAGAGAGAGACCAGAGAGAGAGACCAGAGAGAGACCAGAGAGAGAGACCAGAGAGGGACCAGAGGGAGACCAGAGAGAGACCAGAGAGAGACCAGAGAGGGACCAGAGAGGGACCAGAGAGAGACCAGAGAGAGACCAGAGAGAGACCAGAGAGAGACCAGAGAGGGACCAGAGAGGGACCAGAGAGAGACCAGAGAGAGACCAGAGAGAGACCAGAGAGGGACCAGAGAGAGACCAGAGAGAGACCAGAGAGAGACCAGAGAGGGACCAGAGAGGGACCAGAGAGAGACCAGAAAGAGACCAGAGAGAGACCAGAGAGGGACCAGAGAGAGACCAGAGAGAGACCAGAGAGAGACCAGAGAGAGACCAGAGAGAGACCAGAGAGAGACCAGAGAGAGAGACCAGAGAGAGACCAGAGAGGGACCAGAGAGAGAGACCAGAGAGAGACCAGAGAGGGACCAGAGGGAGCCCAGAGAGAGACCAGAGAGAGACCAAAGAGAGAGACCAGAGAGAGAGACCAGAGAGAGAGACCAGAGAGAGACCAAAGAGAGAGACCAGAGAGAGAGACCAGAGAGAGAGACCAGAGAGAGACCAGAGAGAGACCAGAGAGAGAAAACACATTACTACACTGATAAAGGAGCTACTTTTAAGTTCAAATAAAGAATATCTTCAACTAAAACACCAGAAAATGTGACTGCACATTTTGTGTGTCTCTCATGCACGTGCACAGAGGGGCTCGGCCGCGCTCCGACCAATCAGAGGGCAGCGTTCTGACCAAAAAACCAGCAGAGTTTGTGGCAGTAAAGTGTGGATTTAAAGAAAACCGAAGGATTTAAGAAGAAAAAAGTTCAGGACGACAAAGGGACACTAACATCCCCACGACCTACGACCTTTATGAAAGCTGTAGGTTCTCTGTCAGGTTCTCTGTCAGGTTCTCTGTCAGGTTCTCTGTCAGGTTCTCTGTCAGGTTCTCTGTCAGGTTCTCTGTCAGGTTCTCTGTCAGGTTCTCTGTCAGATTCTCTGTCAGGTCCTCTGTCAGGTCCTCTGTCAGGTTCTCTGTCAGGTTCTCTGTCAGGTCCTCTGTCAGGTTCTCTGTCAGGTTCTCTGTCAGGTTCTCTGTCAGGTTCTCTCTCAGGTCCTCTGTCAGGTCCTCTGTCAGGTTCTCTCTCAGGTTCTCTCTTAGGTTCTCTGTCAGGTCCTCTGTCAGGTTCTCTCTCAGGTTCTCTCTCAGGTTCTCTGTCAGGTTCTCTGTCAGGATCTCTCTCAGGTTCTCTGTCAGGTCCTCTGTCAGGTCCTCTGTCAGGATCTCTGTCAGGTCCTCTGTCAGGTTCTCTGTCAGCTGAGGTGGAGCTGTTTTAGTTTACATTGAGTTCTATGGACCATTTTTCTGGGTAGCCCTCGTGAATAAGGTCTGCAGTACCACAGCGCCCCCTGTGGCCGTGGGTGGGAATGCTGTAAGCGAGTAATACTCTATCCAGTTATTATTCTAGATCCATGGCTCCACCCATTTCCTCAGGTGAGTCCAGTTTGAATGTGAAGATTTAAGGAACTGGGTGGAGTCTTGTGTTGTGAAGGTTGGAGCTAAAACGTGCAGCCACTGGGCCTTTCTGGAACCGCTTTGACAGCCCTGTCTTAAAGGGACAGTAGCACGTATCCTTAGTCAAAACAACATAAGCAGACATAACAAACATACTTATCCCATGGGTTGGAAATTTGGGCTAATAATTATAAAAGTTCTCTCCATGCCGTGCTGTAAGAAATATTCACGTGGTTTGGTATTTGGATCACACAAATGTACTTTTTTTAAAGAATAAATTGTTAAAGCTTTTTGACTTAGTTGAATTTCATACAGCACAACTCCTGCACAAAGAAAGTAAATATATGTTGTGGGCAAATGTCCAAAGACTCTGTGCAGAAAGAGACGGAGGTTACAGTCTGAGGGGATTTGGAAAACTCAAAGGTTTCTAGGACCATGAGGAGAAAAATGTTTGTTTCTGTTTGTGGAGTTAAAGTTTGGAATGGACTTGGACAACGGCTCCAGCAACATCCATTCAAAACTAAATACAGAGAATTTGTGTTATCAAAATATAGAATGAAATAAATAAACTGACCCTAATAAGAATCTGTCTATTTATTATGACATTTTGAATTAACTAATGCTTTATTTATTTACCCCCGTGGACTGCCACCTTAACGTGGTGGGGGAGTTTGAGTACTCGGATGATCCTGGGAGCTATGCTGTCTGGGGCTTCATGCCCCTGGTAGGGTCTCCCATGGCAGACAGGTCTCAGGTGACGAGTCAGACGAAGAGCAGTCAGAAGCCAACATAGACAGCACGAAAAAAAGAACCGTGACGTCGCCCGGCATGGCGCAGCCGGGGCCCCACTCTGGAGCCAGGCCTGGGGTCGGGGCTCGAATGCGAGCGCCTGGTGGCCGGGCCTTAGCCCACGGGGCCCGGCCGGGCTCAGCCCGAAAGGACGACGTGGGCAGTCCCTCCTGTGGGCCCACCACCCGCAGAGGGGTCCGTGGCGGCTCGGTGCAGAGAGGACTGGGCAGCAGTCGAAGGCGGAGACCTCGGCGACCCAGTCCGCACACCCAACATCTGGCTCTTGGGACGTGGAACGTCACCTCACTGGGGGGGAAGGAGCCCGAGCTTGTGAGGGAGGTCGAGAGGTACCGACTAGAGATAGTCGGCCTCACCTCCACACACAGCTTGGGCTCTGGAACCCAACTCCTTGAGAGGGGTTGGACGCTCCACTTTTCTGGTGTTTCTCGCGGGGAGAGGCGGCGAGCTGGGGTGGCCATACTCATTGCCCCCCATCTCAGCCGCCACGTGTTGGAGTTCTCCCCGGTGAATGAGAGGGTCACGTCCCTCCGCCTTCGGGTGGGGGACAAGCCTCTCACTGTTGTGACGGCCTACGGGCCTAACAGCAGTGCAGAGTACTCGGCCTTCTTGGAGTCCTTGGGAGGGGTACTGGACGGTGCACCGCCCGGGGACTCCGTCATTCTCCTGGGGGACTTTAACGCCCATGTGGGAAGCGCCAGTGACACTTGGAGAGGGGTGATCGGGAAGAATGGCCCCCCTGATCTGAACCCGAGCGGTGTTCAGTTGTTGGATTTCTGTGCTAGTCACGGTTTGTCCATCACGAACACCATGTTTGAGCACAAGGGTGTCCACCAGTGCACGTGGCACCAGGACACCCTAGGCCGGAGGTCGATGATCGACTTTGTTGTCGTATCATCTGACCTTCGGCCGCGTGTCTTGGACACTCGGGTAAAGAGAGGGGCGGAGCTGTCAACCGATCATCACCTGGTCGTGAGTTGGATCCGCTGGCAGGGGAAGAAGCCGGTCAGACCTGGCAGACCCAAGCGTGTAGTGAGGGTCTGCTGGGAACGTCTCGCTGAGACCCCTGTCAGACGGACTTTCAACTCACACCTCCGGGAGAGTTTCTCCCAGGTCCCGGCGGAGGAGGGGGATATTGAGTCTGAGTGGACCATGTTCTCTTCCTCTATCGCCGATGCTGCAGCTCGTAGCTGTGGTCGCAAGGTCTCTGGTGCTGGTCCCGGCGGCAACCCCCGAACCCGGTGGTGGACACCGGCAGTGAGGGATGCCGTCAGGCTGAAGAAGGAGTCCTATCGAGCCATGATGGTTCGGGGGACTCCTGAGGCAGCTGTCCAGTACCGGCAGGCCAAGCGTGCCGCGGCCCGGGCTGTTGCAGAGGCAAAAACCCGGGAGGAATTCGGAGAGTCCATGGAGCATGACTATCGGTCGGCCTCGAAGAGATTCTGGCAAACTGTCCGGCGCCTCAGGAGGGGGAAGCAGTTCTTTGCCAACACCGTGTACGGTGCGGGGGGTGAGCTGCTGACCTCGACCGGGGATATTGTCGGACGGTGGAAGGAATACTTTGAGGTTCTCCTCAATCCCCCCGTCACGTCCTCCGCTCCGGAGGCAGAGGCTGAGGATGTTGGGGCGGATACTTCTGTCACCCTGGCAGAGGTCACCAAGGTGGTTGGCAGCCTCCTTGGTGGCAAGGCGCCGGGAGTGGATGAGATCCGTCCTGACTATCTAAAGTCTCTGGATGTTGTAGGACTGTCTTGGCTGACACGTCTCTGCAACATCGCGTGGCGATCGGGGGCGGTGCCAATGGAGTGGCAGACCGGGGTGGTGGTCCCTCTCTACAAGAAGGGGGACCGGAGGGTGTGTTCCAATTATCGTGGGATCACACTCCTCAGCCTCCCTGGTAAGGTTTACTCCAAGGTACTGGAGAGGAGGTTACGGCCGATGGTCGAATCTCGGATTCAGGAGGAGCAGTGTGGTTTTCGTCCCGGCCGTGGAACACTGGACCAGCTCTACACTCTCCATTGGATACTCGAGGGTTCATGGGAGTTCGCTCAACCTGTCCACATGTGCTTTGTGGATTTGGAGAAGGCGTTCGACCGTGTTCCCCGGGGTGTCCTTTGGGGGGTCCTCCGTGAGTACGGGGTCCGGGGTCCTCTGCTGAGGGCCGTCCGGTCCCTGTATGACCGGAGCCAGAGCTGCGTGCGCATTGCCGGCAGTAAGTCAGACCTGTTCCCGGTGCATGTTGGCCTCCGCCAGGGCTGCCCTTTGTCACCGGTTCTGTTCACTGTATTCATGGACAGAATTTCTAGGCGCAGCCAAGGGTCGGAGGGGGTCCGGTTCGGGGACCACAGGATTTCATGCTGTTTGCAGACGATGTTGTCCTGTTGGCTCCAACGAACCAGGACCTACAACATGCACTGGGGCGGTTTGCAGCCGAGTGTGAAGCGGCTGGGATGAGAATCAGCACCTCCAAATCTGAGGCCATGGTGCTCGACCGGAAAAAGGTGCCTTGCCCTCTCCGGGTGGGTGGAGAGGTCCTTCCTCAAGTGGAGGAGTTCAAGTATCTCGGGGTCTTGTTCACGAGTGAGGGAAGGATGGAGCGTGAGATTGACAGGCGGATCGGTGCAGCGTGCGCAGTGATGCGGTCGCTGTATCGGACCGTTGTGGTAAAGAGGGAGCAGCGTCTGCAGTCAGAGCTGTATCGGACCGTTGTGGTAAAGAGGGAGCTGAGCCAAAAGGCAAAGCTCTCAATTTACCGGTCAATCTTCGTCCCCTCCCTCACCTATGGTCATGAGCTTTGGGTAATGACCGAAAGAACAAGATCGCGGATACAAGCGGTCGAAATGAGCTTCCTCCGCAGAGTGGCTGGGCGCTCCCTTAGAGATAGGGTGAGGAGCTCAGTAACACGGGAGGAGCTCGGAGTAGAGCCGCTGCTTCTCCACGTCGAGAGGAACCAGTTGAGGTGGCTCGGGCATCTGTTCCGGATGCCTCCTGGACGCCTCCCTGGGGAGGTGTTCCGGGCATGTCCCACCGGGAGGAGGCCCCGGGGAAGACCCAGGACACGCTGGAGGGACTATGTCTCTCAGCTGGCCTGGGAACGCCTTGGAGTCCCCCCGGACGAGCTGGAGGAGGTGTGTGTGGATAGGGAAGTCTGGGCGTCTCTGCTTAGACTGCTGCCCCCACGACCCGGCAACGGATGAAGCGGAAGAAAATGGATGGATGGATGGATAATGCTTTATTTATTTTCTGATCAAACTGAATGCACTTTGTGCTATAATCATGTAGTTCTGAATTCAGTTTCCACATTCTTGTAATGGATTAAGAGTGTTGTGTAAATGTATGTTTATATAAAATATCACAACTGCTTCTGTATCAGAGGAGGTGGGAGTACATACGTTTACTTCTTCTCACTCCCTTTTCCAGCTTTGTAAAACGTTTTTGACATATGTTATGTATTATTACTAACATGTATTTCTGTTTAAAGTAAATACATGTAACAATGCATGAACATGTTTAAATGACATTGTAAAAATGTAAGCTCGAATAAATCAAATCAAATCAAATCAAAAATCAAATCTCTCTCTCTGGTCTCTCTCTGGTCTCTCTCTCTGGTCTCTCTCTGATCTCTCTCTGGTCTCTGGTCTCTCAATGGTCTCTCTCTGGTCTCTGGTCTCTCTGGTCTCTCTCTGGTCTCTCTCTGGTCTCTGGTCTCTGGTCTCTCTCTGGTCTCGGACTCACCTCTAAATGAAGCAGGACACCTCCCTCACAGTTGTATCCACAGGACTTAGGCCTCACTTTGATGAAAATCCTGTCGTCAGAAAGTTGCAGTGAAAGAGGCTTCAAACATGATACAACTCTGGTCACTCTGGTCTCTCTCTGGTCTCTCTCTCTCTGGTCTCTCTGGTCTCTCTGGTCTCTCTCTGGTCTCTCTCTGGTCTCTCTCTCTTCCTCATATCAAAAGTGTGTGTGAGCTGGGAGCGGTTCAAAGGCGTCAAACCAGTTCCAGGAAGAGTTTTAGTTCAGACCAAGCCCCGTGATCCAAGATGGCGTCCTGTTCAAACCAGTGGCTTGTGCTCAGTAGTTCATGCATGGATCTATAATAATAACTGGATAGAGTATTACTAGCTTACAGCTGTCCCACCCATGGCCACAGGGGGCGCTGTGGTACTGCAGACTAAATTCACGAGGGCTACCCAGAAAAAGTCCCATAGAACTCAATGTAAATTAAAACAGCACGACCTCAGCTGACAGAGAACCTGACAGAGAACCTGACAGAGAACCTGACAGAGAACCTGACAGAGAACCTGACAGAGAACCTGACAGAGAACCTGACCGAGAACCTGACAGAGAACCTGACAGACAACCTACAGAGAACCTGACAGAGAACCTGACAGAGAACCTGACAGACAACCTACAGAGAACCTACAGAGAACCTGACAGAGAACCTGACAGAGAACCTACAGAGAACCTGACAGAGAACCTGACAGAGAACCCGGAAATAAGAAATGAAAACATTGAAAACGTTGTTAAAGACTTCATGAAAAGTTAAAAATAGCCCCGGAAACACTACGCAACATTACTTTTCATCGGGTTCACCGCTTTGGAAAAAGCTCAAGCAATACACGCCCCATCGTAGCAAAGTTGGAACACTTTCAGGACAAACTACTGGAGAAAAGTATAGGAAGAGCCAAAAGGAACACACTTTGGACTTAACGACCAATTCCCAAAGTAAATAAACGGAGAAAGTGTTATACCCTATCATGAAACAGTTTCCACATTCTTGTAATGGATTAAGAGTGTTGTGTAAATGTATGTTTATATAAAATATCACAACTGCTTCTGTATCAGAGGAGGTGGGAGTACATACGTTTACTTCTTCTCACTCCCTTTTCCAGCTTTGTAAAACGTTTTTGACATATGTTATGTATTATTACTAACATGTATTTCTGTTTAATGTAAATACATGTAACAATGCATGAACATGTTTAAATGACATTGTAAATATGTAAGCTCGAATAAATCAAATCAAATCAAAAATCAAATCTCTCTCTCTGGTCTCCCTCTGGTCTCTCTCTGGTCTCTTTCTGGTCTCTCTCTGGTCTCTCTCTGGTCTCTCTCTCTGAGCTCTCTCTGGTCTTTCTGGTCTCTCTCTGGTCTCTCTCTGGTCCCTCTCTGGTCCCTCTCTGGTCTCTCTCTGGTCTCTCTCTGGTCTCTGGTCTCTCTCTGGTCTCTCTCTGGTCTCTCTCTGGTCTCTCTCTGGTATCTCTCTGGTCTCTCTCTGGTCTCTCTCTGGTCTCTCTCTGGTCCCTCTCTGGTCTCTCTCTGGTCTCTCTCTGGTCTCTCTCTGGTCTCTCTCTGGTCTCTCTCTGGTCTCTCTCTGGTCCCTCTCTGGTCTCTCTCTGGTCTCTCTCTGGTCTCTCTCTGGTCTCTCTCTGGTCTCTCTCTGGTCTCTCTCTCTGGTCTCTCTCTGGTCTCTCTCTGGTCTCTCTCTGGTCTCTCTCTGGTCTCTCTCTGGTCTCTCTCTGGTCTCTCTCTGGTATCTCTCTGGTCTCTCTCTGGTCTCTCTCTGGTCTCTCTCTGGTCTCTCTCTGGTCCCTCTCTGGTCTCTCTCTGGTCTCTCTCTGGTCTCTCTCTGGTCTCTCTCTGGTCTCTCTCTGGTCTCTCTCTGGTCTCTCTCTGGTCTCTGGTCTCTCTCTGGTCTCTCTCTGGTCTCTCTCTGGTCTCTCTCTGGTCTCTCTCTGGTCTCTCTCTGGTCTCTCTTCGTACGCGCGCAGAATAGCAGCTTTTACTTTTTCAGATTCCAAACTATCTGCGGCTGATAGCGCGCCGTAGGCCTCCTGAGCTTTACCCGTCAAAGTGCATTGCAGCAATAAAGTCCAAACATCTCTCGGCCATTTTAACGTGTCCGCTATCCTCTCAAAAATAGTGAAGTATTTATCCACATCTTTCTCATTAAATTGAGGGACTAAACGAATGTTTTAACTCAGGTCAAACTCTGTTAGTCTGGGCTCTCTAACCCGCATACTCAGCTCCAATTCCTGCAAACGAATCTCTGCGTCCAACTCCTTCTCCCTCAAAGCAAACGCAATCCGCTGCGACTCCACTTCCAACTCCTTCAGCCGCACAGCCTCATCCCCAGACCTGGACGAAGAACGTGGGCTTCCAGACAAGACGGCTGCGGGAAAGACCCCCTTCTGTACCAATGCCGCCAGTAAATCCGCTTTCAAGACAGCCTTCTTAGCCTGTCTTAAAACAGCGACCTTCACATGCTCAACAATAACAATTAATTGCTCTTTCGTGCATTTATGAAAGACCTCCAAAGTGGGCGCCTCAAAAAACTCATCCAGTTGAAACTCCATTTTCAACCAGAATCCCGCCGTCTGTACCAAGACACATGCGACCCACACACAAAAACCCTACTCTATGGAACATTTTATGTGTCGTCAGATTTGGAAATTTTTTTAGGTTGAATTTTTCCGTTTGAAATTTTTAACCCTGAAAAAGCAAGTTTGAATATTTTTATCTTTACATTTCAGTCACTAAAAATTCAGTTTACAAATTTAAATGTGATTAAAATTTCAAAATGACATATTCACCCTCAAAATATTCAATATATTTTTTTTTTCAATGTAAAAAAAACAGACGGATTATTTGTTCCATCAGAAATTGAATTTTAAATGGACCTGAATTCATCTATTTGAATGTTTTTAACATCTTGAATATTTTTTTCTGTGAATTTCAGTCACTGATTATCAATTTCATAATGTTAAATTCAACAGTCAAAATTCAACGAGAAAAAATTCAATGGTGAAAAATGCACATGACACATCCGGTGTTCTGACGAGTTATGTGCTCTGTCAGTTGGTCTGTCAGTTGGTCTGTCAGTTGGTCTGTCAGTTGGTCTGTCAGTTGCTCTGTCAGTCTGCAGTTGGTCTGTCAGTTGGTCTGTCAGTTGGTCTGTCAGTTGCTCTGTCAGTTGGTCTGTCAGTTGGTCTGTCAGTTGCTCTGTCAGTTGCTCTGTCAGTTGGTCTGTCAGTTGCTCTGTCAGTTGCTCTCTCAGTTGCTCTGTCAGTTGCTCTGTCAGTTGCTCTCTCAGTTGCTCTGTCAGTTGCTCTGTCAGTAGCTCTGTCAGTTGGTCTGTCAGTTGGTCTGTCAGTTGGTCTGTCAGTTGGTCTGTCAGTTGGTCTGTCAGATGGTCTGTCAGTTGCTCTGTCAGTTGCTCTGTCAGTTGGTCTGTCAGTTGGTCTGTCAGTTGGTCTGTCAGTAGCTCTGTCAGTTGGTCTGTCAGTTGCTCTGTCAGTTGCTCTGTCAGTTGGTCTGTCAGTTGGTCTGTCAGTTGGTCTGTCAGATGGTCTGTCAGTTGGTCTGTCAGTTGGTCTGTCAGTTGCTCTGTCAGTTGGTCTGTCAGTTGGTCTGTCAGTTGCTCTGTCAGTTGCTCTGTCAGTTGGTCTGTCAGTTGCTCTGTCAGTTGGTCTGTCAGTTGGTCTGCGCATGCGTCATTTTACTGAGGTAAAGACAGGCGTAGCTTTCAGCAGTTCTATTGGTTGATAACATGAATCTAACAGGTTGATAACATGAGTCTAACAGGTTGATAACATGAATCTAACAGGTTGATAACATGAATCTAACAGGTTGATAACATGAATCTAACAGGTTGATAACATGAATCTAACAGGTTGATAACATGAGTCTAACAGGTTGATAACATGAATCTAACAGGTTGATAACATGAATCTAACAGGTTGATAACATGAATCTAACAGGTTGATAACATGAATCTAACAGGTTGATAACATGAATCTAACAGGTTGATAACATGAATCTAACAGGTTGATAACATGAATCTAACAGGTTGATAACATGAGTCTAACAGGTTGATAACATGAATCTAACAGGTTGATAACATGAATCTAACAGGTTGATAACATGAATCTAACAGGTTGATAACATGAATCTAACAGGTTGATAACATGAATCTAACAGGTTGATAACATGAATCTAACAGGTTGATAACATGAATCTAACAGGTTGATAACATGAATCTAACAGGTTGATAACATGAATCTAAACAGGTTGATAACATGAATCTAACAGGTTGATAACATGAATCTAACAGGTTGATAACATGAATCTAACAGGTTGATAACATGAATCTAACAGGTTGATAACATGAATCTAACAGGTTGATAACATGAATCTAACAGGTTGATAACATGAATCTAACAGGTTGATAACATGAATCTAACAGGTTTGATAACATGAATCTAACAGGTTGATAACATGAATCTAACAGGTTGATAACATGAATCTAACAGGTTGATAACATGAATCTAACAGGTTGATAACATGAATCTAACAGGTTGATAACATGAATCTAACAGGTTGATAACATGAATCTAACAGGTTGATAACATGAATCTAACAGGTTGATAACATGAATCTAACAGGTTGATAACATGAATCTAACAGGTTGATAACATGAATCTAAAACAGGTTGATAACATGAATCTAACAGGTTGATAACATGAATCTAACAGGTTGATAACATGAATCTAACAGGTTGATAACATGAATCTAACAGGTTGATAACATGAATCTAACAGGTTGATAACATGAATCTAACAGGTTGATAACATGAATCTAACAGGTTGATAACATGAATCTAACAGGTTGATAACATGAATCTAACAGGTTGATAACATGAATCTAACAGGTTGATAACATGAATCTAACAGGTTGATAACATGAATCTAACAGGTTGATAACATGAATCTAACAGGTTGATAACATGAATCTAACAGGTTGATAACATGAGTCTAACAGGTTGATAACATGAATCTAACAGGTTTATAACATGAATCTAACAGGTTGATAACATGAATCTAACAGGTTGATAACATGAATCTAACAGGTTGATAACATGAATCTAACAGGTTGATAACATGAATCTAACAGGTTGATAACATGAATCTAACAGGTTGATAACATGAATCTAACAGGTTGATATGGGATTTCTAATGAATGGATTGTAATGAAACCAAGGCGAATAACAAGATGATACTACATTAATTTGATGAGTTAGTCTTTTTGGGTAAATGTGCTTGTTTCAAATCATTATAGCTGTATATTCCTGTTTATTTATTTAGGCTGTGTGTGTTTGTTTGTGTTCATGAAAACCATTTCATTTGAACATTTATAGCAACAAAGGACAGTGTTATTGTCGGTAACGTTACACAGTATTTGGGTTTAGTTTCCCGTGTAGCAGTTTCCACAGGGCTCACTCGTGTTACTTGAAAAAGAGCTCCATGTAAAGGAATTAACAAAAAACATGTATTCCACAGCTCGAACTCTTGTACACTAAATGATATTTTCTGAGTTGTCTCTGAAATAAAGTAACAACGGTAAGAACACCGTATGGCTGCTTATTTATGGAGCTGTGAAAAGTTACGTGCTCTTTCGGCTCCACTCGCTCCGTAAACAAAGAAAAACCTCTCCCTCTCTCTCTTTCTTAAAGTGACGGTAACGTAAATATTCTAAGTTAACAAAATCTGCATTAGTTCTAAAGGGTCTAATGTAGATAACGAGAGATTCCAACGTCAGTGAAGAGAAAACAGAGTTTGTTATGCGCAGACCAACTGACAGACCAACTGACAGAACAACTGACAGACCAACTGACAGAGCAACTGACAGAGCAACTGACAGACCAACTGACAGACCAACTGACAGACCAACTGACAGACCAACTGACAGACCAACTGACAGACCAACTGACTGAATTTAACATTATGAAATTGATAATCAGTAACTGAAATTCACAGAAAAAAATATTCAATATGTTAAAAACATTCAAATAGATGAATTCAGGTCCATTTAAAATTCAATTTCTGATGGAACAAATAATCCGTCTTTTTTTTTTTCATTGAAAATTTTTTTTTTGAATATTTTGAGGGTGAATATGTCATTTTGAAATTTTAATCACATTGAAATTTGTAAACTGAATTTTTAGTGACTGAAATGTAAAGATAAAAATATTCAAACTTGCTTTTTCAGGGTTAAAAATTTCAAACTGAAGAATTCAAGCTAAAAAAAATTCAAAATCTGATGACACAAAAAATCTTCCATACTACTCCCTCTGCTGCACCTGCACAAACCACACACAAAGTTGTTACCTAAACCAAGTCAAAAACAAATTGCCAAATTATGCCACAAAAAATACGAAAGTGACAAAACTCAAGTAACCTATACAAACTTCCTTAACTGGTTTTTAATGAGCCCCCATAAATATGTTACGACCCGAAGGACAAAACATATTTTAAGGACACAGAGACAGGTTTAGAGTTCAAAAATAATGATTTTGTTAATACATGTTCTTTTAACTGAACTCTAGTTTTTTATTATTAATTAATATGAATATTAAATCAACCCAACCCCGTGTCCAGAATACAAAAACCCAAAGTAATCAAATTAAAGGTGGACCTGGTGGGCCAGCCAAAACAAACAAAAATGGGCCGACACCGAACAGCCCTGTCTTAAAGGGACAGTAGCACGTATCCTTAGTCAACACAACATAAGCAGACATAACAAACATACTTATCCCATGGGTTGGAAATTTGGGCTAATAATTATAAAAGTTCTCTCCATGCCGTGCTGTAAGAAATATTCACATGGTTTGGTATTTGGATCACACAAATGTACTTTTTTTAAAGTCTAAATTGTTAAAGCTTTTTGACTTAGTTGAATTTCATACAGCACAACTCCTGCACAAAGAAAGTAAATATATGTTGTGGGCAAATGTCCAAAGACTCTGTGCAGAAAGAGACGGAGGTTACAGTCTGAGGGGATTTGGAAAACTCAAAGGTTTCTAGGACCATGAGGAGAAAAATGTTTGTTTCTGTTTGTGGAGTTAAAGTTTGGAATGGACTTGGACAACAGCTCCAGCAACATCCATTCAAAACTAAATACAGAGAATTTGTGTTATCAAAATATAGAATGAAATAAATAAACTGACCCTAATAAGAATCTGTCTATTTATTATGACATTTTGAATTAACTAATGCTTTATTTATTTTCTGATCAAACTGAATGCACTTTGTGCTATAATCATGTAGTTCTGAATTCAGTTTCCACATTCTTGTAATGGATTAAGAGTGTTGTGTAAATGTATGTTTATATAAAATATCACAACTGCTTCTGTATCAGAGGAGGTGGGAGTACATACGTTTACTTCTTCTCACTCCCTTTTCCAGCTTTGTAAAACGTTTTTGACATATGTTATGTATTATTACTAACATGTATTTCTGTTTAATGTAAATACATGTAACAATGCATGAACATGTTTAAATGACATTGTAAATATGTA